GAATAAACGACACAGGTCGTTTATAAACAAGTATATGTAGGCTAGGTTGCCCAGGTTGAGGCCCCCTCCCTTGTATGTGGCCACCGCTGTAGAAAGTGGTTTTTTTGGAGGGGGGCTTATAATTGTTCCCTGTAACAACTTGTTTATTATAGATCCCGCGCTGAATTTCTCAGGAAGCTGTTCAAATACAGAGTGGCACAGAATGAATTAGGACAGCTATTATTACAAGTTTACATTTGTAATTTGTGAGCCATCCCCCTTTATTTTATTGTTCCATTTCCTTTTAAGTTTCTCAAAATTCTCTGCATATGTTCATTGTCATTACGCACGCATTTTCCTTGACAAGCAGGGGGATTTTAAACAGAACGAACTGGAAAAGTCTAGATTTTTTCATGCAATAATTTTCCTCGGATTTCACAATTTAAAGCCACTTGATATTTGTTACATGAAATACAGATCTTTACACATTTTCTTCAATAGAATTAGATTAAATCTAAATCAAGTGTGACAGTTTCTCTTTAGAGTAAAATGTTTCATACCTATGATAAGCAACACAATTTGCATAGGATGGAAAAAATCCCACACCTTCTTGTTCCATAGTTGAGGAAGCAATAAGGGGGTCTATACAGGTGTTTGTTTGCTGAAACCAAAGTGGCTGTGCTGACAACAGTGGCCAATAAAAAATTCCCTGTAAACTGCTTGACAATCCAAATGCACATTTCAGCATATGACAATGCGTCATAAATTAATTTTCTCTTTTACTCTTTGGTAATAACGCAGGTTGGTGAGAAAATTGACAACACACAAAATTCCCCGACCCTCGTGATCAGCATGGACGACAAGGTACCAACTGGAGACAAACAACCAGTTAAGCGGGGGATACTCACTTTACTGGGTGGATACTACATCCTTGACTTCGAATATCCACATGGATACTCCGTCATGCTCAAATTCCTGCAGCATTTTCTACTGGGCAGAATGGTGAAAGACATGCCAAAGTCTGGAGTAACCTATACTGTTAATTAGGATTGACCATACAGGTAGCAGGGTCAGATCTTTATCGTTAGATAAACGACTTTCCAAAGTTGCATGTCAATCAGGAGAGACTCGGTGCATGACTTTTAACAGATTTTTTCGTGTTGGCAAATTGTGGTTACAACATTTGCTTCTTTATTAAGTGTGACGATTTCATGCAATATGAAACTGAATTGGAGACAGAAAAATCAACATTGAATCGCAGAGATTTTTTTCAGGGGATTGGATGTTAGGTGTATTTCTCCTCTGTGACAAATGGATTTCCATGAACACAAAACAAGATACTTAAAACCTGTTTTGGATTTCTGTGCAGTGGTTTGCTTTATGGTTAACCTGACATTTAAACAACCACAACTTGTCAGTTGAATGTTTGGCGGGGATAGTGGACACTATTGTGAGACATATCCCCACCCTTTTGTGACACTGACAAACCCTCAAATTATGCTGACCCTCATTTTGGTTTCAATTCAGTTTTAATTTGCCGGAAAGACTCACTACCTTGATCTCTTCTAATTCATAATTCATGTCTGTCGTTACGCATTTAGAAAACAAAAACAAGTTAACTGGACAAATGAAAATTCTCTTATAAATAATGTAATGAAAGGGTGTATAACATTTAAAAATATTCTTAGAGGGTCTTCCAAACAAAGAGGAAGGCATCCATATTCAGTAATTAGAAAATATTAACCAATGCCAACTAATAGTTTTTTAATAAGTGTTTCATGAAAAATTAAGTGTTGAAATGTTTCAAAGTTTTTGAAAAGTTTTGTAATATTTTATATCGAATACGTCAAGTGAAACTGATAATTTTAACTGTTAATTTAACTGGGAGTGTTAAGGGAATGTACATGGGCAAGCAAAACTACAAATAAAACTACAGTCATTTCACGTAGTACCTCATTGAAATGTTGGAAATTTACATTCAAAATTTGATCCTGTAAAATAATAGCACCAGAAAAGTATAGTATTTCTTGTCAGTTTCCAACACTGGTCGGCCGACTTTTGCTTGAAAAACCTGATTGTTTCAACTTTAACCTCTCAGTCACCCAATTCATTCAGTCAAATTTGCTGTGTTTTA